TGTCTGTTTGTCTCTCTGTCCGGGGTAATCTTCGGAATGGCTAAACCGATTGCGATGAAACTTCAGCAACAGATGGAGAGCAATGACAAAGGCATATATAATATGTAGATACATAGTTTCGAGAAAACGGCAGAAACTGGATTTATAGTGATTTTTTGATAGTTAAACTACTGGCTAAAAACCACTATTTTTAGATCTGCAGTTTTTATTAAAGTTTTACGGAGAAGAAATCGCAGGTAAAAGCTAGTTTCAAAAAGAAGCAGCAACAGGATTTTGGTTTCAAGAATAAAAAATGTTCAAATGATGGGTATAATAAGGTCAGCGAACCTGCTTACTTAATCGTAGGTTGCTGGTTCAGTTTTTTTTTGGAGCGTTGGTGAATGTATTACTTAATTTTATTGTATTATATTGTGTATTATATTTGTTTTTTCATCCTTCATTTCTTTATACATCCTTTCCAAATTCAACAATAATTGTTAAATTCCTTAAAAAATTCCTATGACTTTTATTGTGCAACTTGTTACCGACCGAACTCGTCATAACTAACAGCAAGTAAGACGCCATTAAAAGCAAACGTTAATGTCTTATTAGAAACTAACACTTTTTTTTATTGTATAAGGCTCAATTTACATTTTGGCGGAATGGAATGGAACGGAAGCGTCAATTTCGTTACCTCGCGCGGGAAGGCGCGTGAATTTTCGGAAATGCTCGAGCATTTCCGCGATTGAGCCTTAACCCTATATGCGCCATTCGGTTATTTAGTCTAGATCTTTTATTTGACAAGAATGGTTGATTGGATATTATTTTCATATTGCTTATTTGTGAGGCATAAGAAGAAAATGATGAGAAAAGGAAGAATATCAGAAAAAGGAAAAGAAATATTTGGGTTCATGATTTATGGAAGAAATGAAAACGTCACCCTTTGCGCCACTTCCTGCGGATTTCACAGACTCCGCCGACAGTGGCTACAGAATTCTCGAGAATGCGCGTGAATTCCCCGGAAGACGCGCAACTTCTTTTTTTGGCTCATGTCTAGTTTGCTCGTTACACAACGCCGTATGACAAAACGTGAAACGTGAGACGCATTTTTCGTGAAAGAAGCTCCTTTGCAGTGGTGCCAGTCTGTAAAATTTGACGTTTGCTGTCAAATTACATACTTTACCTTCTAGTTCGCATATATTTCGCGAGACTACTTTAATTAAACATAATTTTTGAACTTGAGACTAATAATTGTTATTCACAAGACCACTGCTGAATAGGCCTCCCCCAAGGAATGCCATAAAGCACGGTTCTGAGGTCACATGCATTTATCGTATTTTCTTCCTGTATATCTTACCATTTTTACCTACTCGAGAACCTTTCTTTCTCATCGGTTGTCGGTTAATCGATATATATGTGCTATTTCTTTTCTATATGGTCTTATTCTGTGTCTATATGGCCGACCCATTGCCTCTTCAGCTTACTGATTCGTAATAATTATTAACTACTTTTTATGAAGACGAACAGAGTTTCACTTTGTAATTCCACTCCACTTTGAAATCATAGTGTTCCGTTAGGTGTTGTGTGTTGCAAACTCAATTGTTGGCAAAATGGCATATAACTGTTTCTTCAACCGTTGTCGTAATCAATATTTGGCTTTTGCATCGTAACGTGGCGTGTTCTCGTCTGTGACGTCAGAAACTTTTGCTGAAATAACAAAAAACTGCGGTTTCTAACCCGCCTGCCAAGCGTGGCAACGTGGCAAAATCCCTTCCCTATGAGGCAATCTACGGGGGGGGGGGGGGGGGGGGGAAGCTTCTTCAGAAGTGGACTATAATAGGCTGGAACTGTAACGGCACGGGTAACTAGTAATAAGGACCTATGTTTTCATTAATACTTTTGCTTTTATATCATAGTTAAAACTTTTCATCCTGGTTGCATTTAAAATTTGCCCAATAATAGAATATAACATCTCAAATTGCGGTGAACATTTTTTTTTAAATTTTCCTCGTTTATTTCGCGGTAAAACACGTGATCTGTAGACCAATGCAAACGAAGCATCATTATGGCGCCGCGAGTTCAGTAGCCTGTTCAATTAAATTATCGAGGCGACCGCGACCGCTTGGTCCGGATCGGTAGGTTAGTGCCAACGCACACAGAGGCAGTCGCACAGAACAATGATATTAATTACATTGCTTTATCATCGTATGTGGAAACTTTTTTTTAATCTATACTGTGCAATGTATTAATCAACATCAAACAACTATGTTGTAATATAGGGTAAGTATAAGGCTGGGGTGGCCCTTGGGCCAAGCTACTAAGAAAAAACTGGTTTTATCCTAGGAAAACCTACTTTGTTCTGAATTCGATTGGCAATAAACCGTTACCGTTACAGCCTATTAAAGTCCATTGCTGAACATAGGCCTCATAGGGGGGATATTTGACATAGTTGCAATCCTTGGCAAGCGGGTTGGCAACCGCAGTGTTTTTTATTCGTTATTAGGAAGACGCTGCTTCTCATCACCTAATTTGTTTCCCTCTATCGCCTCTTACGACACCCACGGGATGATATAGGGTAGTAGATATTCTTACCACTAAACGTTTTATAAAATTTCAAACAATTTTTTTTACTAAATACTCCTGGTTAAATGTGATTTTTGCAACCAGCCTTGGTCAAAACTACTTTTATCATAGGTACCTACCTGAATAGGTAATAGGTAAACCAATGTGATATTTCAAAAACATTAAAATTTTCGAATAATATCGGAAGTTATCAGCTGCGAAGAATGCTCATATATTTTTTTAACTTATTATATGCCCGTGTTTAAATTCATGCCCACTTGGTGGATGTGGCGATAAAGCCCTGGAGGGTAAACCGCACTGTCTTAGCGTAACAAAATCTTTGATATACGCATTACGAAGGACATAGCAAACCAATTTAGTTTCAATGATGACCACAGGGATGAACGCCCGCCGACCGCCTACTTGTGCGGTGATGGAAAGGGGTGGGAGGTATTAAAGCATGCAGTTCCTGCGCATACTCACTAAAATTCATTCAATAGAATACCAAGAGGCCGGTTACACTGCGCATGTGCTCGAAGCTGATAAGATTGGTTTCAACCTAATGAGGATTAACAGTATACTTCTTAACACGTCTCTACATTGTGTCCAACGCTGCACAAATTTTGTGACAAATGTGACAGCAGTATTCCATGCACGAGCAGATTTTTTATATAGGGTCAGATGCATAGAGGAATATAACAGATGATATCTCGGCGTGGCGTACCGCCGCACCCTTGGAAGGACACCTACTTTCCTTGCTGCTGCTTTGCCTCTGAACTCAATGAACTACCCACTGATGAGGTGAAATCTAAACTATTCTAAAGCAATTGAAGGCGATCAGTGTACTGCAAAGATGAATCTCAAAAAATAGGAGCTTGTAAATAGGAACATAGGAACATTAGCATCGCACCAAAATTTTTACAATGTTAAATGTATAGTGTGACAAGTGTTCGCGGAAACACAGAGGCATTACCTTGCTTACCCATATCAGTTGTAACAATGCGTGCTACAGATATAATGCGATAAGACTGCTAAATTTATGTAAGGTTTTTACGTATTAAATTCCCTTTTTGTATAAGAGAATTGAAATATTTAAATTTTTTTTTACAAAATAACTATTATTCAAAATGTATAAATTTATTATTAACACATTCTTGTCATTTTCGATATTGCAATAAAACTAAACATTTGTGCTGATTTGTCGACCTTTATTCTTAAAAAAAGATATCCAACGAAGTCCACTAGGCGTTTATATTTTTAAAGTCGACTAATTATATGGTGTTTGAAACTATAGACGTAAGAACTTACGTTTCATAGTCCACTATGACGAAATTTACACCAAACTGATTACTTCTTGAAGAGAAGACATTGTTGGTTTAATATTAGTTTATATGAGTTACTAGAATGTATTAACGAAAATTTTTAAAAGGTTTTGACATAATTTAAAATTAAAAATTTTGTATAGCCGACTTTAATATAAGTTATTAAGAATAACCCAAAAACTTAGTGTGACCTTGATCAAATTCCGGATCGCACGATAAGTACCAGCTTTCAAATAAAAAAAGAATCATCGAAATCGGTTCACCCAGTAAAAAGTTATGAGGTAACACACATAAAAAAACATACAGTCGAATTGAGTACCGTCTCCTTTATGGAAGTCGGCAGAAAATACAATAAATGGTTATCAAAATGCATATTATACACATTTATGAAAGAGAAGGGTCTGTTTGATTTTAGAATTTAGTTATACATGTTCTAAGCCGTGGCGTTAGAAGTTCATAGTACACGGTCATGCTTTTCAACTCACCTCAAGGTGAACCCTCAAGGTTACCTAGTATAGGTACGAGCAACCAAAATTTTATCCCCGGTGCTTACTCTTAAATTTATTAATGGATGTTTTAGTTTTTACCGCGTGTTTGTGACAAATGAAAACGAGAGAAATTTGATCAGAACATGAGTATTGCCATTTTACCACTTGCTTGGCTGTGAGGGAAAACATCGTGAGGACTAGCATGTCTGAGAAATAGAAAAAAATATATTTCGAAGACATGCGAAGAACGCCAACACGCATTGGGGCAGCGCGGCGGACACTTCCTTGCCCTAAAACCCTGTCAGAAATGAGAGAAGGCCTGTACCCAGCAGTGGGACGTATAATATGCTGTAACTTTAACTTTATGAGTAGTAGGTACCTTCTAAAACACACAGGCGTAGTAAGCTTACTCAAAATTATCCAAGAAAGTAATACTTTATTACGTATTATCAGCATTAGCGAATTTTATAGGCTCGAAACTTATTACGTTCTTGCTGTTTTATCTAATAAATGTAATCGAATTTTTCGCAACCACGCGTGTTGTTACTGTTAGAGATAAGACGATCTTTTGCTATCAGTCGCTTGTGGATTATGTAGCCTGATGGTCTATTATATTTTTTTATTCAGCGACGGTTAAATATTCGCGGATATGTTGGTTAACGGTGATCGTCTGCCGATGCAGTGCCCCGTCGTCGGGAGTTACGAAGAGACCGGATGGAGTGTGCAGTGTCCGATGGCTTACCAGTGGTCTAAACCACCAATGAATGATGTTTGCGATTATGGTGTTCCCAATAGTGATCCTTATTTAGGATTCTCAATGCCGTGTTATAATAGCAATTATTATGTGTGTGATAACCCTTCCCCGCAATACTACGGTAATAGGATGTACCCCCAGGTAGGGTACGGTCCAGTAACTCTAAATTTACCATGTCATGGACAAGAGTGGGACTACAATTCCATGTGTTACGATGTCAATGGGCAACCGTGTCAATACACTAATGTCGTGGATTTGGAAGACTTCATGTAAGTGTAGACAACCATAATAGTGAGGCTTCTTATTATTTGTAATACAAATATACGCTTTATGAATGCTGCATTTGATATTAAATAGTTATATTTATTTCAGCTGTATTATGTAGTGTAACTTAAACATGTTGCAAGTTTAAACACATTTTTTTGTCTACACAAGTAAGCTAAGCATAGATCTTGTTATTTCATACATTCAAAGTCATTGGTAACTAAATTCATTGATTAGGTACACCAAAACACGGTCTTGACCCACCTCCATACATCGGTTACCAGTGTTTCCGCCGGGTTAGGTATCGCTATCTTTTACGCGAAAAGATGCTATCATTGATAAGGATTTCTCCGAGTCGCTAGTAATCAGCGTACTCAATTCTCGACCCATTCATGTTCCCGGTCTATATTACTTATCTTATGTAGTAAAGGATAACTTTGATATTTTTATTATAGTCGCTAGTAATCAGCGTACTCAATTCTCGACCCATTCATGTTCCCGGTCTATATTACTTATCTTATGTAGTAAAGGATAACTTTGATATTTTTATTATAGTCGCTAGTAATCAGCGTACTCAATTCTCGACCCATTCATGTTCCCGGTCTATATTACTTATCTTATGTAGTAAAGGATAACTTTGATATTTTTATTATAGTCGGTAGTAATCAGCGTACTCAATTCTCGACCCATTCATGTTCCTGGTCTATATTACTTATCTTATGTAGTAAAGGATAACTTTGATATTTTTATTATATTTTTTTATTATATTTGATATTTTTATTTATATTCACAGATTTACAAGCTTAAAACAAAATATGTATAAACAAAAATAATACAACAAAATGAATTAAGCTATATCAAAATTAGCACATATGCTTAACGTAAACAATTTATTTTAAAGGTCAGAAAAGCTAAATATATTAAATTCAAGGTCTGACTTCGAATGTATCTTACGGCACAGAATAAATAAGTACTTACGGGTTCAAAATGTGTAATTAATTTTTGATTGAACCGATTGAACTGGAATTTGGCATACCTATTAACCTATATATACATAATATGTAATTTCGTTGACAATGCAATAATATGGTTCCATGGAGATGATCTGATGCTAGACCCGGACGGCCCTAGTAACGCCTTTAAAAGCTTGTTTTAAAGTATATTTTATATCATATAATTTTGTATAATATTTAATAGTGTTAGTTATATACATACATACATGCAAGCTATATTACAAAGTTAAAACAATAATGTAACATTGTTCAGGTCACGTCTTATCTGAATATGACTGGTCCTAGCAGTTAAACTGTAGTAAAAATTGTTAATTATAACAACAAACAAACAAACATTTTTCTTTCATTTTAAAATCATAACCGAAATGGACAAATTTGTTACCTACTAGCGTTGAAAGAAACTACAAAATTTCTTGCAACATCTGGATAGCAAATTAAATAAAAAACTTATTATTTAATTTAAAAACGGCTTATTAGTAAAATAAAAAGTTAACCTTGAATAGTTGACCATACAAGATTTTTTGATTTTAGTTTTTAAAGAAAAAAAGGAATTAAATGAAACATTAATTTTCTTAAACAAATATAAATTAATAATCTTTCAAAGCACCATGTTAATAACGCATCTGTAACGGTTATCCATACTCAAAATAAGCTTATAAATATTTCCTTGTGGATAAGGTCTCAGGTTCGACGAAGATGCATGAGATGTTCATTTTCTGTCTCCAGATTTGCGGTAAATTTCGTAAGGCCTTTTGTTGAAGCATTTTCCAAGCGTGCTCAATCGGATTTAAATCCGGAGACTAGCCTGACCAGTCAAAGGTTACGACCTTTATGTTGATACAGCCTCTGAGTTACCACTCGAGCAGTATGGCGATTCTATTGGCGCTGGTGGAATCGAGGATGTATGCGCAAGCATTCCCGTGGCCCTGCCAATATGCGGGGAAGGTCCGACATAACGTAAAAAAATGGTCGCATGTTGAAAAAAAGTTGGGAGTTACCAATCGAGCTGTATGTGTCCGGTGTGTATTATCACCCACAAGCATAAATCTTTGATCTATTTGCAACCGGTGTGACCGGACTACGGGCACCAGCACCTCAGTATTGCTATATAATATATTTACTGTGTTGATAATGTGTTTAGTTAGACTTTTTCTATAGTTTATTTTGTAAATTTTGGAAGTACATTAAAACCGCTACAACGCATCTCTACAGATACGATCAGCCACCATTATTGCGTAGATTGTAGAACATCCCAATCTCGCCCCCATTTTGTTTTGAAATATTAAAATGTCCACAACTATTTGTATACGAGGCTGACACTGAAAGTTCTTAGAAAATTAAAAACTGAACAAACTAGCAAGTTATTATTTTTATTATATCTTTTTAAAATAGTGTGCATTTACATCAATACTTCGCTCCATCCGATGGAACCACTGAGAAAAGCACTTTGCCCACTCGTCCTTAGGGCACTCATCTTTTCGATGGCATTTTGAAACGCAGCCACTGCTTCCTCGGCGTCCATAAAACGTTTTCCTCGAAGTTTTTCTTTTATTTTCGGAAATAAATAAAAATCGCAAGATACGAGGGCGGGGCTATAAGACGGGTGACCCAGTAATTCCACGTCTGAAGTCGCCAAGCAGTCGATTGTTTGCTTGACGGTGTGCGACGAGGCGTTGTCGTGGTGAAGAAGGATCCTACTGCGAGGTCGTTTCTCCTGAACTTTTTCCAAGACAAACAATTCAAACAAAAAATTCCTCGCTAACGCCGCAAAGGGGCGAACCTCAATTTTTCAAAAAATTACAGGAGGGCAAGAAAACATTTAATATTCTCCTATAAATGTTTCTTGCTCTCCTGTAATTATTTTGTAGCGGCAACGACGATTTATTGTTAGTGTACCACTCTGCAGTAACTGTTTTTCGATCCTCTAAAACAATTGTTGCGTAATGACCTGTCCTTCCGAAGAACGAGGCCACCATCTTTTTTCCCACGCTTCGACCTCTCTTCACTTTAGTTGGCAACTCCTCGGAAGGAAAACCCAGATAGCAGACTGTCTCTTAGTTTCAGGATCATAACAATAAATCCGGCTTTCGTCACCCGTAAGTATGTCGAACACAGCATTTGAGTCACCTCCGTTAAATCTTTGAACCATTTCACGACACCAATCAACACGACGGAGTTTTTGGGCCTCTGTCAAATTATGAGGTATCCACCGGGTACAAAGCTTCTTGACTGCTAAATGTTAATGGAGGATTTTGTGCACTTGACTCATACCGATGCCTGAGCTTGTTCAAATCTGCTGATAAGTCACTCTTTTGTCAGTCTCTATCATACGCCGCACAACACTGATGTTATCTTCAGTCGTCGCTGTAGAAGGCCGTCCCTCACGCAAATCATCGGTGAGGTTAGTGCGACCACGTTTAAACTCATTAAACCAGTTGTAAACAGTGGCATAAGATGGGACTTCATCGTGAAAGGCCAATCGAAGTTCTATCATAACTTTCTTGTTGACTGAAATGACATCGAAAGTCATAAAAAACCATTGTACGAAAATTTTCTCGCGTTAAATTCATGTTGAAGTGATACAGACACTTTTCAATTTGCCGCCAAATCGTAAACAAAGGACAAATTAATAAAATACATACCCAATAATATTGGCAAAAAGTTTCATTCTCAAAATTATTTTTTTATTATATCGTTTACAAGTGGCCAGTTCTAAAAACTTTTAGTATCGCCCTGGTACGTTTCATTATAAAATAAACAACTAATATTGCTCTAAAACTGAAGTCTAGAATTTCCGAAGTGTTTTAGAACACATATGAATATTTATCATTGACTAGCTGTGCACGGTTTCACCCGCGTCATCACGTGTCCGAGGTGCGCGACATGACATGACACCTACTTCAAGCATTTTTTAATTGCAATTAAATATTTTATTTGATAGCAATGTATGGAAAAGTTGGCATAATTAATGGAGTACTTTCTATCTATCGGCATATTATGAATGATGTAGAGCGAAGTTAAGTTTTATCCACTTTCCCTCCCCCTGCCGGTTGAGCCGAAGCGCGGTTTTTCCCAGTTTTAAAGAAAACCGTACACGATACATGAAAAGTGTGTAGGCATGAAATGATTCTTGATAAATTTGCTATCAAACTCTTATACTTATTAATTAATAAAATTTTCAAAATACCATAGCAACGTGAAATGAAAGAGTTCAGAAATAAAGATGTAACTAATCATTGTCATAAAAGTACTCAATTAATTTTTAATTTATTTTAGATATTATAATTGAACTAACCTCGCTCATAAAAGCTTTCAATACTGGCTTCTCGCAGTTCTCACCGAGCGCCTAGGGTTTATGCGCCGTTTGCGCGCCCAGCCAATTATTGAATAATTTAAATTTTTGAGTAAAGATCTATATTTTTCTGGAACATTGTATTTACGTATCCCTAAGCATTTCACCAGCGTACGCGGATAAATCATTTCGGGAGCGATTTTTCTCCTGACTTGCTTAACAAATATCCATATTTAAAGCTAGCTGAGTGATATAGCTAAATGCTAGATAGAGACTATACTATTCCACATGAGCCCGACTATAATATACAAAAAGAATTTTTCAAATCGGACTGTTAGTTAAAGAGATTAGCGCGTTTAAACAAACAAAAAAACAAACAAACTCTTCCGCTTTATTATATTAGTAGTATAGATTAAAATTCAAAATGTAAATCCGTTGTCACCTTCGAGGATTGAGATGAAATGCCTCGTTACCATTCCAAGGGTTTTCGGTTCTTGACACTTACCTACCATTTTTTTATATAGAATAAAGGTGACAAACGAGCACACACTCCGCTTGGTGGTAAGTGACTGCTGTGGCCCATAGACATTCACATTTATCTTCAATCAAGAATCAAAATGCATTTGCGTTGTCACCCATGAGGCAGTCCTCATGGGTAACAATGCATATGCATTGCTTTATTTATTAGGTGGAATGCCTC